GCTCCACAACCCCCCCCCCAACGATAGAGGTAGGATCCTTCCCCCCCCCATCTCCCGCCCCGGTGTGTGGGTGTGTACCCACCCCCCCCCATTAGGGTTGCTGAGGTTGAGGAACCCTGTTCTAAGACTTAAAAATATTTCAAAATGCTTCTTTTTTCAGGACCTTTATGAAATTGAAAGAACTTTCCAGTGGCAGTACTTGATGCTAGTTAAAGTATGGTAGTGTCAGGATTAGATGTTTTAAATTGATTATGATACTGTTTTATTGTTTACATTGGTTTATGCAGTATTGCAAATTATACCTTTCTTTGTACTGTGCTTAAGTATAAGTGCATACTAAATAAAAATACCATTACTACTATTTGCATGTATAATCCATAAAAAGATAATAAATCAGTTAATGTTTAAGGAGCCACAACATTCTTTGTTGTTTCTGCTATAACAGACTGGAGCTACTAACTACCCCTTTGGAATCTGAACTCTCCAAATTTAAATATCTTCCACAGTCTCACAGGTGTGCAGTTTGGACAGTATCTTGTACTTTAGCTCTTTTTCTCTGGTAGCTTTCTAGTCATTTTTATTGTAATAGTAAAATTGGAAAATCACTGAAATGCTCATTAAAACTGCATTGTTTACTATACTTCTTTATATAGTGAATAATTACATAACAGGATATGCTGTGACAAGAATTAGCAGTTAGCAGTACACAAATTAATGGAGGATAAGGCTATCAATGGCTACTCATTGTGATGTCATCTTCAGAATCAGGCTGCATGCCTCAGCATATTGGAAGTCAACAAAAAAGGGAAATGTATAGCCCTTGTGTCTTGCTTTTGGGCATAAGGATTTGTTTAACTATTCTGGAAAGTAGATGCTAATGAGATATGGGTTTTACATTCTTTTAGATGTTCTTCCAGCTTCTCTAAATATGTTCCACTAACTTTGTTTCCTCATTGTTGCTTACCTCTTATATCCTCACTACTTCTTCCTGTTCAAATTTGTGCAAATACCCTGAATCTTCACATTCAGATCAAATGTTAGGTAGCTTTCAATAAAACAATGTTAGCTTGAGTATACATTTTTAATTCCACTGCTGGAGATATTCCCTTTTTTATAATCAAGTCAACATGATCTCTTACCTTGATTTTTTCCCTTCTTCTCACTCTCCTGAAGCTGCTCATCTCTGCCAGTTATTAAGGTTTGGAGCTCTGGCTTGGTAGATATGTTATTGTGATTATTGGAGGACAAAGCCAGATGTTTGGAGAGTATTCCTGGATTCTGCTGGCCATTATGCTCCTCCAGCCCAGATACACCCACATCCTGGAAACCACTAGAGGCAGCTGAAATTGATGGTTGGTTGGTTTTGTTTATATGCCCAGGATCCTGTTTGATCAACTTGTAGCTGCCTGTTAAAACAGTTCTCCTATAATTCATGGGGGAGGAGTGGACTTTTCCATTAATAGGGGGTGCTGGTATTAGATTCATTACATTGTAGCTGGTGGCCACCTGTTTTGTTTGCTGCTCGGCTTGACATAAATTATTGACTGGTCTGTTCATAGGATCTTCTACACCATCATGGGAAAGCAGCTGCTGAGAATAGATGGGAGATATGGGTTCCCTCAATTGGGCACCATGTACTCTTGTTTGTGCTTTGGCTTTGTCTTCCTTCGCCACTTGACACAGATCTACCAGTTGGTTGCTTCTGGAAACGGTGGTTTGGGTCACCTGATCTCTTACCTCAGAGTCCCCCTGCAAGCTGCAGTTGTTTGCTTCATCAGTATTTGACCCAATGTCCATTCTGCTTACGTTAGGAATGTTACCCCAGATAACTTCTTCACTAGTTTTGCAGCTGCCATTTTCCCAGTGCCTATCCCTGGTAACAGTATTGGCTTTCTTCTCTGAAGGATACAATGGCCTGGGGACACCAAGCCAATTTTTGATTCCAAATTGCTGACCACTGATGCCAGCTTCTTCACTGTCTGTCCTGTAGCTGTCTGATGTGTCAGTGGTACTGCCTAAAGCTGAGTCCACATCTTCAGTGCAAGTAACTTCCCCAATATATGTCTCCCTGATGCATTCTGTATAAACACGCTGCCGAGAAGGAAGGATCCACAATGGAGTCCCTTTGGGACCCAGAGACTTTGTTCGTGAGTTCTCCTGGGAAGCACCAAGCTCTTTGTTTCCATTAGTGTGAACAGCATCACTGCCTCCATGAAGGACATTAGCACTCTCATGCTTGCCATTCCCAGTTTGCTTGACTCTAGTGTCTGCTGAATCGTTGATATAAGACCCACAGGCACTACATTTCCTTTCTTTATTTTCCTGCAGAGGCTTCCCTTTTTCAGAGCACCCTCTGTTGCTCTGGTGAGTAAGCATTTTTGCTACCTGTCCCATGCTTTGATGTTCCCAGACAGGTTTGCTGACGTTACCATCTTTACGCTGGAGGTCACCATTTATATAGTCAGAAAGATCTGGTTTGGAGAGCAGTGGGCCCCGGCCAAGAGATAAGAGAACTGAATCTAAGGGCCGTTTCTGGCGTTGTTGCAGGCGTTCCAGATAACGAACCTCAGCATCCCTTGCAGATTCATCCTCAAAACGCACCCGAGAAGGAGATGGCCCTCGCTTTCTCTGCTGCCCACAGCTGGATTCTCCACTAGATGAATCACTCTGGTTTCCACTAGTATGGATATTTCTATCGTTCAAAGCAAAGTCTTTTGCATCTGCAGGAGAGAATCTACAAGTACCCCTAATGAACAAAAGAAAAGATTTTTTTTCTTACTTAGTGAAATTATCCACTTTGCTACCCTTTTCATCTATGTTCAAACCTTTAGCAGAAGCGCCATTTGTCTTAAGGGCCACCAATTGCAGCCTAATGAAGAACCAAGCGCTGTAATGTTGCTCAAGTCTTCTGTATCTAAACTTATTTGCATAAGTTGCATAAGTTGCATATTAAAAATTTGCAATATTTGCTTAATATGCATCTAGCTGCTTGTACAGTCATCAGATCATCAATAAGAGATCTAGCATTTTGTTACAACCGTAATATCGTAGGAAACTGCTGACCCAAATAACTGATTGGATCTGGAGCAGTCCTTGCATTCTGTAACTGTTTCCAATGGTCTCAATAGTGTGTAACAAATCAACAAGATGAATTTATACTTCTAAAATGAAGAACAGCATAGGATTGGAAAATGGCAGTGATGAGCTGCGGAAAGCAACTAAACAAGCAGTTGAAAGTGCTCTGAGGCAATATAAGACATAATAGAGTAATATCTGAGGTCAAAAACTAGTCCCAACCAGGGTCTCCCATTCAGCTGCAAACCAAGTTCAGATCTATTTATTTTTACAGGCAAAAGTAAATAATTATCAGGCTCTGGTAGAATAAATGTTACAGTGATGAAAGGGCAATGCTTGTGAATGCATTTAAAGTAGTTCATTTTACAACTATGTGTTGTAACTTGCTGGGTTCCACAATATTCCTTCCAGGAATTGAAGTGTTCTGTATATTTTTAAAGAAGGGGCCAAGATCCAGTGAGGGCTCTTACTGAAAAGCATGGAAGAAATGATTATTTTTGCCTACCCTCTTTCCCTTTTGCTAAAGAGAAATTAATGAAAGCACTCACCACATCTCTCTTTTGCAGGAATGTCCTTTGAGGAGAGTTCCATTTACAGAACTCAGGATCTGAGACAATGACTACTAATAAAATCTTTCTATACTTGCCACTGTCCCTTTAAGTAAAAGGATTGTTCCTTTCACTTGCACACCCAGTACTTAATTCATTCAATTACAGATAACAGTCAACATTTCACAAATATGCCAAATAAAATATAGACAGCTCAAAGAACAATCACTCAGATATAAAGTTGAGGTTACCAACTTCCTCCCTGCTGTTGCTAAATAGCACTCCTGTTATTTCTGATATTTCTGCACCAACTACCTACAGCATACATGGGTAGCCAAACACTTATTGCTCAATCCACATTTTATAAATAAGTGTGCACAGGATCACTTCATCTTGATGTATCACTAGCCTCTAAAGCATCTGCTTACCTCATCCTAACTTTCAGGAAACCTTTGCTCTTGAGCATTCATCATTGGCTTATTGCAACATGCTCTCCGTGGGGCTGATCTTGAAACTTCAAGGGATGCAAAATGCAGCAGCCCATAATCCAGTGGTTGAGAACCGCTACAGCAGAGCTACACCAATATTACATGTACTATGTTGGTTACCAGTTTGTTTCCAGATTCAATTCAAGAACCTGGTCATAACCTATAAAGCCCTACATGGCTTAGGTTCAGATTATTTACAGGATCATGTCGTCCAGAAGGAATCTACTCGATTCCATGCTTTGGATTCCCCTCAACAGATCGAGGAGAATAGATCTGGAAACCAGTCGTTTCACTAGCTGCCTTGTCATTGTAGAATATGCTGTTTCCTGAAATCCACATAGCCTCCATCTTCCGCAGATCTTTTTAAGAGCATTTGGAGATTAAGATATGCAATATGGATTATCTCTAATATTTGTTTTTGCCATTTCCTTATCTTTATATTATTGTGATAATTATGTTATGATGATTTTTTATGGTATTTGGATGTTAGCTGCCCAGAGTCTCTGGAGCTGAGTGAGATATAAGTGTAAGCAAATAAATAAATATTATTTATTTCGTTTGTGTTTGTAATAATTTCTGATGTGTTTGGTATGTGAGAAAGTTTGTGCATATCCTCTTCTAACGCTGAAAGAAAATTGAAGCACTAAAGCATACAAATATAAATATAAATATTTAAATAAATAATATAAATATAAATATAAATATAAATATAAATAAATAAATATAAAGTTCACCATACAAATAGCAATTTTTATTTATTGTCTAAATTGTCCCATTTTTTAAAAAAACTATGTTTTATAAAACTACCGTGGTATCTGAAAACATTTAACTCTTATGCATGCTCATCCTTATACATGTTATTGCAAAGGATATCAAACCACATGATAATGAATTCATTTCATTTGAATCTCACTCTGTTCCTTAATTATATCTGAATCAAATGTTTGTGTTTACTTTCACTGTTTCCTTCAGGTACATCATTTCTGGGCTCTGAAGCATATCTTTTTTATTCTTGCACAGCATTTCATTTGTAAGATAAAAACTTTAAATGGTTTACAGGTGCGAAGAACAAAGAGGCTGGAAAGCAGCTAGAACTGAACGGCATATACCGGAAAAATAACCCAAACCTTCTCTACTAGTTCCTCCCTGCTCATGCCAGTCAGGTCCAGATCCTCGAGCTATCACGCGGAAACAACTGAGCTTACCTCTTTTCTGGGGGGGCGGTAGGCAGGATGTTATGGCTGGCTCGGAGGGGGTTTGTCCTGGCCTTCATACGTGCCCTCTGCAGCAGCTGCTTGGCCTGTTCATGCCTGGGGCTCAGCTCCAGCTCCTGGTTAGGAACAAAGACCCTGCAGGAAAGGCAGCACGGGACAAAGAATGGCGGGTTGGGGGAAGGGGGAAGTAAGGATTAAGAGTGGTTTGACGGTGAGAGTGGCAACAACAGTTGTAGAGGCTGGATTTAGGGCTTCCACTGTAGCCTGACTTAAAATAGGTGGTACTTTTCTTGGCCAATATATTCTTAAGATTAGTGATCAGACATCAGACTAGCCAAAATATCAACAGTAAGATCAATGCCTAAAATTCATAAAATAAATATTAAGGCAGACATTCATTTATATAAAAGAGTAAAGGGATGCACATTATAGTAGAGTAAACAGCCTGTGCCCCATCCCATTATTCTAAGTAAAAAAGTAGAGGTAAAGATGGCCTGAAGATGGCTTTGACTCCTTATGACAGCATCTGTGCAGCTTTCCTGGCACTGTTTACAGAAATGGTCTGCTTTCTCCCCCTACCCACCCTTTTTTTTTTTTTCCCATCCCAGTCCCCCACCCAAATACTAACCAGGCTGATCCTGCTTTCCCTCTGAGATTAGCCAGAGTCAAGGAGAGTAGTCATGTTTTTAAACAGTGAGAGGGGGACTTCCAGCATTGGAATTCAGCTAATGGAGTAATGGTTGTAAACTGCTTCAGGATTTTTACAGCAAAAAATGGCATACATACATTTTAACTCAATAAACAAACTACTAAGGAGAACTTTACAAATTGTTCTGGGTAGAAATATTCTTTAGCAGGTATTTCACAGAGAGTACTGTATATCCCACAACAGACAACAGACAACTGAACACAGTACATGATGCACTTCTGAGGTCTGGTGTCTCTTAAGAATATACACATAAAATAGTACATAAAACTGGGGAAAAAATGATTTACAGATAAATTGTAAAAGAGAACTTCTGAATCCTGCCTGCTTCCACATTTCAAAAAAGATATGACTTCTGTAACCAGCAAAATATAAACAACATAATCCAATATTTTCATTAAGGCAAATTACAATGTCTTTCTACAATTACAAATTACAGTAAGATCCTTCGTTCTTCATGGAATTAACTCCTCTCCTACCAATATTGCCTCAGCTTTTTGTTGTTCCTGACACATATAGAAGCTGATATTGCTGCTTCCTTAAACATTTGTCCTATAGTGGCTTGCTGTCTTATCGTGTGACCCATTTTTCTCCCCTAGTGAGCTTAGCAACACACACACACACACACAATCTTCACTATTATTTTAATCAGCTTCACTTCAGCTGATCTAAGCTTAACTCTTTCCTAGAATGTGCATTGCACATGGAGGCTAGTAATACACATTCAGCTTGTTTTTGCAGATCTCTTTCAGACATGAACAGATAAAGCATGCCCCAATGATGTCCAGCAACCCATTTGAAATATCATACTTCCTTTAAAATTCCTCAGACATTGAGCCTAAAGAAAAACGTCCAGTGAGTTACTTTATGCATCCAGGAGTGCCTGTTTATTTATGTGCATTTTTTAAAATATTTAGCCTTTCATTCAGCAGCTCAAGGTGGAATACATAGCTCTCCTATGATGTAGGTTGGGCTGAGAGAAAGAATAGCCCAAAGCTATGTAGTGGTATCTTCCAGAAGGCTAACTGGGTGGCAGACTTAGCCTTATCATCCCAAATAACATTATTCTGATAAAGCAAATTCTTTAGAAAATAAAGCACATAATGACATTTTCCCCAAAAACACTTTGTTTCAAGCACCTGTATCAAAGCTCTCTCTCTCTCTTTCAAAACACACACACACACGGGTCCAAATCATATTATGACTTGCTTTCTAGCCTCGTTTCCATTACACAGGATCCTACCTTCTTGAATTTACAGTTTCAGAAAGCTTTATTTTGTAGAGCCTACCCTTAGAATGATATATACAGTCCACCTTCCTCTTCTTAGGTTCTCAGACCAGAGACATATAGAAGTTACATACACCATGCCCTTGTTTTACGAGGTTTTATAGAAACCTTCCTTCTTGGATTTCTCCATTTTTACACATGGTATATACCCTGTGTGGTGTTTTACTTATGCTGATCACCAGGAGGCAGCATAGGACTGGTTTTGTCCTGACATGGGACTCATCAGGCATAGGTAGCCATAGATCTTTACATCTACCAAGAATTGAACTCATAGGCTGTTGTACTCTAGATTACTTCCTTGTAGGGATTCAAGAAAAGAGAAAGAAACAATCAAAGATCTCTCCAAATGTCTAGCCCATCTCTGCAGCACTGCACTGCTGATATGTATACTCTACTAACTTTGGGTTAAGGTGTTTGGGTTTTTTCCCAAAGAGGTAAGAAGAGCAAGCAATTGGGTCAAATTTTTGAAATTGTTTTCTATATGAAATGAATCTCCAGACCCCTTTTCTCCTCTCCTTTTTCTTTTTAAAAATATATTTGGATATTATTTTATTAGCTCTGTTTACCTCTCTTTATTTAGTTTGGCATTATTTATTTATTTAGTCATATTTCAAATTTGTCATCACCCATCTCACTACAGATAAATAAAATACTTTCTAAAGGTTTGTTATCTATTGAGCATTTGTGCATGTGTGTGCCTTCGAGTCAGTGTTGACTCCTGGTGACTGCCTGGACTAGTCCCTGCAGTTTTCTTGGCAAGATTTCAGAAGTGATTTGCCATGGCCTCCTTCCTGGGGCTGAGAGAGAGTGAGTGGCCCACGGTCTCCCAACTGGCTTTGTGCCTCAGAACGCCCAGTCTCCCAGTTTCTAGTCTGGTCCCTTAACTACTACAGCAAACTCAACATTTAGGATGAACTTTATATATAAAGTTAAATTTCAGAAATATTTTGGAATTGATCTCTCTGCCTTTTAAACTGAACATTTTCTTCTTTTCAAATGACCTATTTGATGACAGGTACAGTATGTTTGATTTGTATTTTGAATATATATTGCAGTTTCAATTTTTTATTTATATATATATATATATAATACTTGCACACATATTCATACATGGGAACATGCTGACCTATTTGCTAAGAATTTCATGCATTTCTTCTGGATGACTTGGGAACATCTAAAATAAATATGTTTATGTTTATTACATATTAACTTCTAATCTGTACTCTTTTTGCGTCACTCTTTTTTTCCCTCTAGCCCTGCTCTGCCCTATTCACTCTTGAGTAGTGCCTATGGCATACCATGCAAAATAGAACATGACCTATGACTAGTGGTCACAGAATGTGACTACTACTAGCATTACAGGATGGGGCAAGTGATTAAATCCACTTTGCAATGTTGTGAAACAAGTACAAAAGGGCGAAGCTTGCACTGTAATAACATGACACAGGTCTTGTTATTCCTGCATCATTGTGTTTTGGAATGGACAACTATGCATAACTCTTCCCACAAAACGTTTGTTTCCTTCAGGCCTACAGAATGATTTATCATTAGAGTCGATGTAGCGTAATAACTCAGGAGGTCTTGATTCAAATTTTACTTTAGCCATAAACCAGTTATTGTGCCATTTGGCAAGCCATTACTTCTAGTCTCAGCCCTCCACAGCAATAATTTTTGGATAATGCTGACCTAGAGTGATATACAATATTACATACTGTACCTGAAAGCTCACGATTATCAAAGGCAATTTAAAGACTAAAATGGGCCTCCCAAATGAGGTCATTTATGCATTTTCATTGGTCCCCAGAGCTGGCAAAGCACCCACCTCAATCTTCAAGGTCCTCCCTGGACAACAGGAGAAATCTAGCATGCAGGTTGTGCAAATGTCATTCAGACTACATTTATTTATTCTGAATGAGGTTACCCTGGGTCACCACTGGCCAATACCCATCCTGTTCAGATGGTAAACTGTCAGCTGCAGATCACAGTATAATTTCTTATAGTACGGTCTCCAAGTCTATCCATCCAGAAATTTGAGCTAGGCCTGAGAGTGATCACCTACCTTTAGTATTAAAATGTAGTTCCCAAATGGTACCTCATGAATCTCTCTGAGGTACCATCCTAATGGAATCATTGAAATCCAGACCTGTGAGGTTAACATGGAATGGGCAAACCAGAGAAATGATAGTTAACAGGTATAATTCAACATTAGTAATTCCTTATTGCTATCCTAGAAAGTTGTGGGACCTCAAGCTTGAGGGAAGGCAGTGGCTTGGTATGACAAATCAAATCAATCTTTATTACAGTCATCAACCAGCATAATTGATATGACAAATTGGTATAGAATCTAAAAATCCCAAGGCAGCCAGCAGGACTATTTTAATAAGAGGTTATTTGACCAAAGATGCATAATAGCCAAAAAAGACCTGATTAATGCATTCCTCAGTCATAAAAAAGATCCTTCAAACAGCTCTAGCAGGGCTATAATGGAAATCCAAAAGAAATATGTCTTTTGAATAAAACAAAAGAAGTTGGCAACAACAGCAGGATGATATCAACTGATATAGGCTGTAAAAGCTGAAAGACTTCTCAATTTTCTGGCAATTCATCATGAACTACCAAGACACAAGCCTGTCTGGATTGGCTTGTTGAATGCCAGTGGATGCATGGGAATGATTTTTCCAAGCCTTATTTGATGCACCAGATTTATTTATTTATTTATTTATTTATTTATTTATTTATTTATTTAATACAATTGGCCATTTGCCAATGACTGGGCAACTAATGAAGGCTAAAAACATCCAGAAAAGAAAAATGATAAAATAATGAAACATAATATGGTACAACTGGGCCAGGGACCAGATAATTCACATCATACAGTAGACTCATCTGATTTCCTGGTCCAGTGCCTGGGGGAAGAACCAGGTATGCAGGGCCTTCTTAAAGCACCTTGATCTATAACCAGAAATAGATTGGTAATCAGTGCAACTTGTGCAGTAGAGGTGTTATATGGTGAGAAGGAATGTTGACCTGTCCTTGAAAATGGGGAAGGAATGAACAAATTATTAAGGGAAGACTTTCAGAGAGGTGACTAAAGAATGAGTAATAGTGAGAAGTTCCCACAATCCAGGAATAGATTTGTGT